TGGCTGGGTCTTTTTCCTCCTTTGGCGTTTGCTACTGGTTCTGCTGCTAGTTGCTGCTGATGCTATTTTGCGCACACGAACAGGTGACACATTTCCAGCATGGAAAAGGCAAAGACGCCGGGCCGGAGGGATCTTTGCGACCCCATTCCAACGAGGGCATCAGGGCATGTCCATGTTCGTTGTCTTAAAGGCCATATTCAGCGGCAAATGGGATTCGGCGCCGCGGACGACCGACCAACCACAGGCAACAATTGCGACGAGATTCCAACGCCAACGCTAGAAGCAGTGGCCGAACGAACGAACGAACCAACAGACTAATCTGCCAGTCATTCCGATCAAGAGTCTGGACTCTTGCGGGTACTGGTCCAAAGAGTGAAGAGAGTCTTCTCTTTCTGGGCCATCCCGAATGGCTCGGTATGCGTGGTATGCAACAATGGCAGAAACCTCTTCCCCCATGGGCCATGAACCCATAGGCAATTGCTCCAAACCATTTGCCGAACTGCATGCGTTTCGAAAAGAACACCATTGACACCCCCTGCCCGACCATCGCGCTCATCGTCTTGTCAAAAACGGGACAAGACCGACAAACCAATTCTCACATCGCTGACCTGGTTCCCCTCCACTACGTTGCACCCGCCCTCCCACCTTTCATCTCATTTGTCCAATTTCGAGTAACCAACTGCGGGGAAAGAGGCGAAAGTCCCGTTACGAAGCAGACCAAGAACAACGCCGGGCCCGGCTTGCTTGGAACCAGCTGGAGCTTTTGGACGGAATTGGTTTGCCTGGAGGTTGGAGGGATAGCATGGATAGGACCAACAGGAAGACTCTTCTTCGGCGGCCTACCAGTGCTGCCGAGGAGAGAAGAGGGCTCAAGGTGGCCTCGGCTCGCCGTGTAGAGTTTTCTCTGTTGCTTGTCGTCTTTTCCCCATTCGGTTGTGGACGGCTAACGTCATTGGAAGAAACGCTTGAACCTTGGCCGGCGGAAACGAGAGACATTGAGAGACACTGAGAGCCAGAGAAGAAAAAAAAATGAGCCGCAAATGGGTTTCAACGGGAAGTAGTCCGTCTCTTCTTTTCTTCGGTCGACACCACGGAACGCCGCGCACCACCACACGCCAATGATGATAGGTGTACCCTTCGTGTATGACGTTTTTGCCGCGGCTGGTTACATAGTTTTGGTGTGGTGTGGCTCGCCCGCGCTCGTCACTGTCAGATTTGGTCCATGGACGATGGAGCGGCTCCACCCCTCTCAATGGACCCTTGGCGGCCATCGCCCGGGCCCCAGATGGCTTCAGGGATGCATCATGGAAGAGGCAATCTTCCGATCTGATCAGTCAGAGTTCAAACTCGGCTTTACTCAATCGGCAAACCAGGGAGCAAGGACGACAAGCTGTGGCACTGGCAGGTCATGAGACTTTCAGTACATACTTCCTTCGCAAGCAAGCAAGGTATTCGTACCGTAGACACCCCCCCGATCTCCCCCAGATTCTGGTTTGCAACTGGACAAAAGCTTGGGGCAAAGCTGACTGACTGGAAACAAGCAAGAGAATTGAGTTGCTGCATACGACGACTTGGCCCCGCGTAATCAACTCTTTCTATTCGGTTTCCCGTCCGTCACACCCGTCTATACTTTTGACGACGATTAGGAAGGATTCATTCAAACTGGGTCCTTGGCTCGGAAGACGCACCGAAAACTTACCTCAAGTCCATCCGTCCAGTCCACCACGCGATCACTCCAGCCTCCTTGCAACAGGCCAAAGAAAGAAGTCCCCTCTTCTTTCTTACCCTCTTACTCAATCCCACATCCTTTAACCTCACGCGTGCCTCTTCTCTCGTACAGCGACTTGTACAACAACTCCGCCCTCTCTCACAGAGTATCAGTACTCCGTACGGATACAGTCACCATTGGCATCGGTCGCCCCTCTCCACACGTGGGAACCTGCCCCAGAAGCTTACCTCAAGGAACCACATAATTCATCCCATGCGAGGTTGCAAAGGGCATTAGTCCTTCTCCTGGATTCTGGCGCGCATTTCTCTCACACACACTCTCTCCTTGCCGGGAAGTGAAGCCTATTAGTGGCGCGAGTGGAGAAGCTTCGTCGTTTCCGTACCTCTACATTGCGCAACCTTGTGCGACCTGTCTCCTTACCCACGAAGACACAGATAGTGTCCGTACATCCTCTTCCTGATCCGTTCGGCGCGCACACCACATCTGCCTTGGCGCAAACCCGGAGAAGGGGGTCCCTCCTTTAATGAGCGGGGTGGACAAGGCCAAGACGAAAGACGGGAGTGAGAAGCACCACCCAAGTACACCAAAGCCAGCAGAGGTCCAGAATTCCTCTTCATCAAAGCCTCGGCCGCCGTCCGGCGACAACGTCTCGTCCATCTCGGCCGTCAAATCGCTTCAACTTCGGTGTGAGCCACCGAACTGCATCATATCCCCTTGTCCCACCTTCGTGCCATCTTCTTTCTCTCTTTTTTTTTCTCTCCCTCTCACATACACACACCTGACCGACACGGATACACGCACAAACTGAGCGACTTTCATCTCACCCGCCCACATCGTTCGATTTTTTCTCACTCCTCCGCTCGACCAACCCATTCCATAGCGTCGTCCATCGTCAAGTCCCCTCGGTATCCTCATCCCGCGTGCCCATCTCCATCTCTCCGCGAGACCCGTAACGCACGAATCCCGTTTAGGAACAGTAGTCGAGCTTTTCTCTTCCTCTTTCCTTTTCGTATCACCGAGGTTGTTCATCCAAGGACCCGAACTGTCGGTGATCCCAGCTATCCGGAATTGTGGAAGCCATTTCAAGGATTTCGAGTCAATCTCGTATCAGTCACCGTCGCGCGCAGGTCGTGGTGATCCCAAGCGTCGTAGGATCCCGGAAGAAAATCAGTCTACTTGATCAGTGATCTCGGTCCAAAAGATCCACAATCGCAACGTCCCTAACCCGCTGACGGGAGAACGAAGGGGGGGAAAAAAAGAAGAGTCAAATCAAGCATACAACTTGTCTGCAAACTGACCAAAGATGGGTAAGCGTCCATGATTTCCGTTTGGCGATACCGTATACGCCCCCCTAGACCTAAACCCCCTCCCACTTCCACTGCCCACTCCTCACTCCCCCAGTATCAACACCCCGCCCCATCTCAATGTGTCCATCCATCCCTATGGCGGCCCCCTCTCTCCTCTTTTCCCCAAAGAATGATTGCCAAACCCGGTGGATTGGTTGCAACGGTGTCCAGCCCCGTGGGAACACCTCGAGCCCGTGGGGACCATAAGAAGATGCTGCTTCCCCATGGGATGGACGTGGGATGATATCTTGGCCAGACCTTTGTCCATCTCTTCATCTCATCTTCATCTCACCGTCCCCGCGTTTCTTGTCTTCTCTCCTTCTCCATCTCCTCTCCTTCTCAAAGTCCTTCTCACTCTTCATCCATCCATCCATCTCATCATCCTCGAGCCCCTTAGTCCTTCGAGAGAAATCGTAAACGTTATCGTATCGAGGTTCTAATGGTCATCACTGTCCATACAGCGGAATCGGTGTCAGAGTCGTCGTCCGTCGGCAAGCAGCATATTCCAGTTTTCAAACACGACATGGGAGGCGAAGAGACCCACGAGGAGCACGCCGTCGGCAGCATGCTCCCTCCTCACCACGAGGAGGAGCAGCTGTGGTGGTCGCGTATCCGTGAGAATTGCCAGGATGGCTTCTCCGAGTTCTTTGGAACCATGATTATGATCCTCTTTGGCGACGGTGTCGTTGCTCAAGTCGTTCTCAGCAACAGCACCAAGGGTGATTACCAGAGTATCTCTTGGGGTTGGGGGTAAGTTTTGATCCTCCCATTGTCTTGCATTCACTTCACGAGTGCGTGGCTTTTCATCTTGAGAATTATTGGATGAAACGAGCGCCTCGGTAGAAGCGGAACAGAAAAAGAGAAGAGATTTGATGAGAATGAGTCAACTAACCCATTGCTTCATAGATTGGCAGTTATGCTCGGCGTCTACGTCGGCAAGAAATCCGGCGGTCACCTCAACCCGGCAGTGACACTTGCCAACTGCGTGTACCGCGGCCACCCGTGGCGCAAGTTCCCCATCTACTTCATCGGCCAGCTCCTGGGCGCCATGGCCGGCGCCTTCATCGTGTACGGAAACTACATCAGCGCCATTGACAACTTTGAGGGTGGCCCGGGCATCCGCACCGTCGGCGGCGTCAACTCATCCGCCGGCATCTTCTGTACGTATCCGGCCGCCTTCATGACGCGGACGGGCATGTTCTTCTCGGAAATCGTCGCCTCAACCATTCTCATGTTCTCCATCTTCGCCCTCGCCGATCCCGCCAACGGAGCCGCCGGCCCCTTTATGCCCTTGGCCCTCTTCTTCCTCATTTTCGGCATCGGTGCCTGCTTCGGTTGGGAGACTGGCTACGCCATCAACCTGGCGCGTGACTTTGGCCCCCGCCTGGTTTCGTACATTGTCGGATACGGGTCTGATGTGTGGTCCGCTGGTGGATACTATTTCTGGGTAAGCAGCAAGAAATTCCTTTTCCTGCCTGCCTCGGCTGTCCCCCTATCTTCTGACGGGGCTCGGGGTTTTCGTCGTCGTATACGTTGGACATGTGGTCCTTCGCCGATCTCGTCCTTCCGAGTGGCGAATCTCTTGCATCCCCTCTTGAGAACCTGTTGACTAATATTTCATCTTCATAGATCCCCATGGTTGCCCCCTTCTTCGGCACCCTCTTTGGCGGCTTCCTGTACGACGTCTTCATCTTCACCGGCGAGAGCCCCATCAACACGCCTTACTTTGGCCTCACCCGACTCTTCCGCCCGCGCCGGGATGTCTGGTCCAACACCTACAAGAACCGCTTGGAGAAGGTGTAGACAGTGCATCCTCGCTTCACGTTGTGTCCGATTTGTGCGTTTTTGATGATGAGAAAGTGAAAAGAAAGATGTTATCTTCATCTTGATGAGTGATGAGATTGACACCGGGATCCTATCATGTGGGACAGTCATCCATGATGACGATCTCCACGATGATTTCTTATGAGTGTGCAAGAGTGTGAAAGGCAAAGAAACTGGCAGACAATGATACCACGGGTTTCGGATGACGAGAGAAGAGAGAGATGAGAGACAGAGAGAGAAACTTGGGATGGGCGACCGACTCCAACTCTTCCTTCCTCGGGGGAGAGCAAGGAGTTTGACAGAGACTCGAGGATCTCTTAAACCCAAGCGAAACAAAAGGGAAGATGAACAAAAAGAAACACAAAAAAGATGATCTGTCTTACGGTCCAAACACGAAAAAAGCGAACACGGGCGAAGAATCATTATCATGAGCTTATTTGCAGCTGTATTCCGTCGTTCCTGTTTCTTGGTTTTTGACTATCGTCTGTCCTGTTGGGTGCTGAGGTGCTGCTGGTGGTGCTGTTGCTTGGTTATTGGCGTGGGTTGGATTAGCGGTGTCTTATTTTCAAATCACAAAGTCATTTACAAAGTTCAAAGAATGTTTTCCCCTGGTGACTACGCAACAAAAAGGAGAGAAAAAGGAGTGCCATCAAGAGGCAAAGTTATTCCTCTTTCCCAACTACGATGTGCGCCTATGGCAGCAATTAGTATGTTCGTGAAGGAGACTCTTGGAAACGAGAAAAAAGCCACCTTCGCTGGAAGATTGGCACGATGCCCCGAGGGCGGGCCAGGTGAACAATTCTTCCGTCAAGTCGGGGGTTTTTGCTCAGAATTACGGGGGGCCTGCGCCGCCAACTTGGCTAGCGGGAGGGACCTGCCCACGCCGCTGGGAATTGGGATCGCTTCCGAGTCCCAGTGCAGCAAGCTGAACCACCAAGTCGAAAAGAATCCAGACCAACAAAATGCTCGCACTTTGCATGCAATCAATGATGGCGTGGGCTTGCGTCTTGTTGGGAAGACTGGGGGTCCCGCCTCTGACCTCTCAGAGGCGTCAAAGGTCGAGATTGACCCTGACAGCGACCCCGAAAGTTTGGGTCCGCGGTTGCACATTCTCTTTTGGACTGTCTGAAATCCAATAGTCTCGTGGACTCGGGTAGCAATTGCAGTATCAAGACCGAATGGAGCCCCAATCATGATCCATCTCGACCCCAGCTTGGGGAAATGGGTGGTCTCCCCATGGGCATCTTGCACCCGCTCCGTCTGTAGCCGAGTCTTGACCTTTGTTGCTCACCTTCCTGGCCAAGAGACGGGGCATCAGCAGAGGGATGGTAGTCAGCAACCTACTGTGTAAGCTTAGGCATCACGTTGCCCATGCTTTCATGGCGCATCCAGCTCGCCGATGCCTAGAAATCTTCCTTGCACGCAGCAAGAGTGTGCATTGTGAGGACTTCGGATGGCATTGGTGAGTTGTTCAAGCTTTTGTGGCCAACTAGCAATCCCCGAGAACTGTGCGCTTAGCTTACGTTGAAGATGGGCAGAGTTGGGGAGAGTGGTCTGTTGTTGCCTGAACTACGGTCCACGTCAAGGCGGGAGTGGGCGCGGATTGGACGGAGTGGCGACGGGAAGTGATGTCAAGAATTGGTCGCATGGCGAGGAACTCGGACGACTGTCTTGTCTGGATGTTCCGGATGCCCAATCACCAGTATGAGTTTGCCGTTTGCAGAGTTGTAGCAAAGCTGTGATGCGAGGCGGAGCAACACGCAACGGACGTTGCGTGTAAAGGTGTTTGGCAATGGCCCATACTGTCCCCGTTGCGTATAGTGACTTCGAGATCGTGCTTGCATCGATGAGAGGCCGATGGCTTCCAAACTCTGAGCAAAGCTGACTCGTAATACAACTGCCTGCGATCGATGGCCCTTATTCAGTGGCCCGGCGAACGTTGCCCGTCGCGAGATAAGGTTGTGTCTGGCTGGTGCTTCGTCTGGAAGCGCGGGGTAGAAACAGCCAAGAGCTAGTGGACGTGCAGGAAATGTCGCTGTCAAGTTGCACCCTGGGACCTGGTCCATCTTACTCAGATTGGCTGGAAGGTTCGGTAGTGCGAGTAGACGAACTCTGGGTGCGATAATTGTCGTAGTGCTAAGATTGGTACTCTGGCTGCGAACGTGTCATGGGGCGCAGCTGCAACCTGCGAGTTTCGAAACCTAGACGCAAATCAAGGTCATCAAACGAGGACAGGGTGATGGGTCGACCTGCGTTTGGGTGTAAGTCAACGGGGATGAAGGACTATTTCGAGCTGGGCCAGGTGGCTATCGTTGAGACAGGGACCTTGTACACGGCACTGGGGCAGGTTGACAGCCAAGATATCTGGCCCGGCGCATCATCTAGCAGAGCAGCAAGAATACTGACAGGATCGTAACCATTTGCGTGGGTAGGGTCGCCAAGTTGTGGACTGGTTGTGGATTGGCAGCAATTCGACCCGTGTGCCACCTCAGCTTGCTCCCTCCCACATTCTTCGCACGCGAGTTGCAGGGGGCGGCGCGGGATGTTCGGCGTGGCACTGCGGCGTGGCCGTGACGGCCGAGGGATGTGCAGCGAAGAAACTTGGTAGCGGCCACGGAGGGTGGACGGCGGGTGTGTGCCCTGCGGCGTGCGGGTGCGGTGCGGGTGCAACAGCGGTGTCCCTACCGCAGTCGTATCCCAGGAGGGGTTCGTGTCCGGACACTCCCCAAGTACCCATACAAGAGTAGGTCGAGGTACATGGCAAAGGTAGAGTGACTTGTAAGTCAAGCTCGGGCGTCGGCGGCTGCACTGCGTAGGGGCGTTGCGCGTGATCGAGGACGGTAAAGAGTTGCGGAAATAGCTGGGTCTGGAGGGAAGAGTCGGCAGGCTGAAGGCAGGTTTTGCTGACTTGGACAGCTTGGCGAGTGGTGGCAGTATATCGTGTCGGGTGCAGTGTAAGCGATGCCATGGTGGGTGGGCTAGTCGATGATATGTAGGTAGAAAAGGGAACGAAAACAGTTTCGACTGAACGGCGTTTGTTGACTGTGAATCCCGATAATTCGGTCACCAGAATGGCGCGGCGTCTGTGTGATGCAGCCACCCGTCTTCGGGAACCAAAAACGGTCCGCAGTACTATGGATGGATAGAAGAGGACGGCATCTGGTTCTTAAGATGAACCAGAAATCCGCCCTGTAAGAAATTGTTTGGCTGGTTGAGGCCCCTTGGGCTGTTGGGCAAGCCTCACAATCGGGCCTCAAGTTGAGAAGTGAGGCGAGACCCAGAGTAGTCAGGCCCCTGTACAAGGGCCGACATGTGAGGATTGCAGAGGATAAGGGTAGTTAGCGGCAGTATGGCGTGGCGCTGTGTGGGCAAACATCCCACGATGGACACTGATGGAGACGTTGGGAGGAGTCGACGAGGAGAAATCAGTCGCGGGCCATTCGCCGGGCCGATTGCTGGTCGCCGTGTAGTCGCCGTTTGGCAGTGATGATTGTTCATGCTGGCTGACTGGGCGAGGGAGGGCATCTGCAATGCGTGTCTCGAGATCCAGCAGGCGAGTGACTGTGCCTTGCTGCTGATTCTGCAGTGAGCGTGATTGGATTGGACTGGTGCTCAGTGGAATTGGACGGTGGTGGTGGTCCAGGTCTGCGGTGTGGATGTGGTGACGGGAATGCAACACCGAGGACGAGCGAGAGTCGAGGCCGCAGTGTCGCCGTCTGGCACTGCCAAAGTGGAGACTTGTGGTGGTGAGGAAAAGCGGAAAGAGGAGTAGGCCTGTGTGGCACGGGAACAGAGGGTCAGGGCTGGAAAGCAGGGGCTAAAGTGGAAGAGTACGTACTTTTCGGCCGGAGGATTCCGCCGATCATTGCGAACCTCAAGGAAAGCGTGGAAAGGTCCCGTCCAGTGGGGCCTTCCTCCTCAGGTCTCCAAATTTGTGACCCCACCTGCACTTCCCATCTCAGCGGGACCCTTCCTTCCTTTCTGTGGGAACCTGGGCGGCACCTTCTCCAATTCTTCTTCAGTGGTCGGCCATGTCAACCGAGAGCACCGAGACAGGGGTACAATACTTCATATATCACCAGCACCGAGAGAATACCGAAGATATGTCCACCATCTCGGACTGCCAACACCGAGGTGCAGACGGACCCCTGATGGCATATTTGAGGCTCTGACTGGAAACACCATACAATTACGGATCCATCTACGCATACGGATGGGATGGCACCGACGTCTCTTTCCCACCTCCAGATTTGCGTGCCTTTTCCCCATTCATTTCTCCATACTGGATCCTGCGCCGTTACCGACATGACGAACAAGAAGCGGGTCCCCTTGTGTCTCTCACTCACTCCGGCTCACTGCATGTCCTGACTCTGCTCAGTCACCCAGCCAGTGTTGGGTGCTGTTTCTGCTTGCTACTTGCTAGCTCGGAGTGAGCTCGGTACCCATGATGTCAGACCCCGACTCCAGTGCATTGCTGCTGCTTCCGGAGACCGTTTGCCATTCACCACGGCCACTACCACTGCCACCGTCAACCACAATGTAGCGGATGAAGCTGCCGTAGATGATAGCATACGGTGATGTGGCATAGCATAACGTAGGTAGGAAATGCAGGCAGGGTGGTCAGGACTGACTGACAAGGTATCAGTCAAGGTCTCAAGATGAGCCATGCCGCCATACCGTAGACGCGCCTGCGACCACGTGGGGGTAAGATCCAATTGGCAATGCGAGCGATACCTTGAGTCTTGAGAACACCAAGCAACAGCTGTGTCTGAGCTGGCATCCTCTTTGCTTTGTCCGTGTGTTCCATCGATCGCTACCGGCCAAAGCTGCATGTCTCTCCGTCTGACCCCCCGTCCGTCCATCCATCCATTCATCCCCCGATCTCCGTCATCACAAGGTATCTTCGTACCCCCCTCCACCCCCGATCTACTTTTAGCCTCTTCTCGCTGGGCTCACGTTTCGTTATTTTTTATTTTATTTTCCTCACATCAGGTCGCCCTCTCTCTCTCTCTTTCTCTCCCATCTCTGCTACCCACCTCCCCTGCTCTCCCGCCCTGCCCAGTCAGTCCAACGGAAGATTTTTGCTCGCGCCAAACGGGACCATTCCTTCTCGAGCTCGGGGTGTCATTCCACGAATAACAGTCCATAGTTTGCGGGTGAGGCGGCCCAGCCCGGACCAGCACAGCTTCCTGCTTTTCTGCCACCCGGAATCTACCCACTCACTTGGGTCATCTACCGATCGACAATCCTCAACCCTTCGGTCCCTCTTAAGCCCTTGAGCTTTTCTTCCTCTTCCTACCTCTCTTATTCTTACTTCTTCTCCCCTACCTTCACCTTCCTGATTCCTTCCAGGATCATCAACCTGTGAACCCCTCCTCCTCCCAGCACATCACCAATCGAGGGAAAGCATTCACTAAAAGGGCATCCCACCCTACACGCCTGAACTGGTCACCTATACCAGACGCACCTCCAATCGTCACCCTCCCGTCCTTCTCGGACTCGGTCTAAACCTCACCGAGTAAAGAAAACACAAGAAAACACACACACACACAAGAAACACCCGCCAGCATGGCGTCTCGTTTCTCAAGCCTGAGAAGGCCCGTCGCCATCGCTGCCGCCGCGGCAACCGGTGGTGTCGTCGCCTACTCAACCTTCCTCAGCGGCCGCGGCGCTCACAACTTCGACAAGGCCCTCGTCGAGCTCAAGCGCGATAACCAGGGCAAGATTGTTCCCCCCTCGTTCCCCGCGACGAAGGACCGCGCCTCACAGCTGGCCGACCTGCGCGCCCACAACTCCGATGGCCAAGAGTACGACCTCCTCGTCATCGGCGGCGGCGCCACGGGAACCGGCATCGCTCTCGACGCCGTCACCCGCGGCCTGAAGGTCGCTCTCGTCGAGCGCGACGATTTCTCAGCTGGAACTTCCTCCAAGAGCACCAAGCTCGTCCACGGCGGTGTTCGCTACCTCGAGAAGGCCGTCTGGAACCTCGACTACTCCCAGCTCGAGCTTGTCATGGAGGCCCTCCACGAGCGCAAGACCTTTCTCAACGTCGCCCCGCACCTGTCTTCTTCTCTGCCAATTCTCCTGCCCATCCAGAAGTGGTGGCAAACTCCTTACTTCTGGGCCGGCACAAAGGCCTACGATCTCCTCGCCGGTTCCCAGGGTCTCGAGAGCTCCTACTACGTCTCCACCAAGAAGGCCATGGAGGCCTTCCCCAAGCTCAGAAAGGATAACATGGTCGGCGCCCTCGTCTACTACGATGGCCAGCACAACGACTCCCGCATGAACGTCTCTCTCGCACTCACCGCCGCCTTCTATGGCGCCACCGTCCTCAACCACGTCGAAGTCACCTCTCTGGAAAAGAACTCCTCCACCGGCAAGATCACTGGCGCGCAAGTCCGCGATGTCAAGAACCCCGGTAGCGCCCCCTTCACCGTCCGCGCAAAGGGCGTCATCAACGCTACTGGCCCCTTTGCCGACGCAATCGAGTGCATGGACAACCCGGACCGCAAGCCCATCGTCGCCCCGGCCTCTGGTGCGCACATTATGCTGCCCGGTGACATCTGCCCCAACGGAATCGGTCTCTTGGATGCTGCCACCTCGGACGGTCGTGTCATCTTTGTTCTCCCCTGGCAAGGATACACTCTGGCTGGAACCACGGATAATGCTGCCCCCGTCGAGCGCGAGCCCATTGCCCGCGAGGACGACATCAAGTTCATTCTCAAGGAGGTCAATAAGCTGATTACCCCCGAGTCCGCCCTGTCCCGCGCCGATGTTCTCTCCGCCTGGTCTGGTAAGTTTTGTCTTGTTCACTGCCCCTTTTCCGATATCGCTCCCAGGTCAGGACCAAGAAACTAACATGTCATGCTAGGAATCCGCCCCCTGGTCAAGGATCCCAACGCAAAGAACACCGAATCCCTCGTCCGCTCCCACCTCGTCACCGTCTCCTCCTCCGGCCTCCTCACCTGCGCCGGCGGCAAGTGGACAACTTACCGCCAAATGGCCGAAGACGCCGTCGACGAAGCCATCAAGACCTTCAACCTCGCCCCCAAGCCCGTCTCCCTCCCCGACATCTCCGGCGCAGGTCTCGCACCCTTCACCACAACCGGCGCCTGCATCACCACCAAGATCCCCCTCGTCGGCGCCCACGGCTTCTCAAAGCACCTCCCCGGCCACCTCATCACCCACTTCGCCCTCGACGCCGACGTCGCCCACCACCTCGCCCACAACTACGGCGACCGCGCCTGGTCCGTCGCCACCACCCCCGCCGACCGCGAGCGCATCATCCCCAACTTCCCCTTTGTCGAGGGCGAGATCCGCCACGGCGTCCGCGCCGAGGCCGCCCTCACGGCAACGGACCTCATTTCCCGCCGCACCCGCCTCGCCTTCCTCGACGCCGAGTCCGCGCTCCGCGCCCTGCCGCGCGTAATCGACGTCATGGCCGAGGAGCTCGGCTGGGACGCCAAGCGCAAGGACCAGGAGTGGACCGAGACGGTACACTTCCTCCGCTCCATGGGCCTGTCCCCTGAGAAGTTCGGCGTCACGCGCGACGAGGTTCTCCGCAGCGGCACCGCCACGTCGGCGTACGCGCCCAAGTCGCAGATTGCGGCCTCAGCTAGCGGGATCAAGTTTGCGCCCAACGAGATCCAGGCTGGTGGTGCCCTGGCGAGAAATATTACCGAGGCATAGAGCAGCAAAGCATCTCCTTAGTCAGAGGTGATTGTCTCTCTTGTCTTACTATTTCCTTGCGTTTTTGACGATACGTGTGTGAGGGAGAGAGATACGAAGCAGTGAGAGCGAGAGCATTTTGGCCCGAAAAAAGTTGACACCCAACCGGAGCCGATGGATAGCTAAGCTCCAATGCGTATGTGTGTATTGAAATCTGCTTTTTCTGGATTTCCGAAACGAAAACCCTGGGATACCTAGATAGAACGGGGGTATTGGCGTACTTTTGGGGGCAAAGGGGGATTGGGCATTTTGAGAGCAGCACCGACTGTGTGTACGATTCTTCTCATCTGTGTTTCCATCCAACCTTTTTTGGTGTGTTTTCACATTTTCCTTTTACCTAGTTCATTAGTAGCATATGGCATCAAACGCTGTGCAAAGTTCCTCCTCCCACACAGGAGTCGGACTTCAGTGCGTTTACACAAATTACCCGCATAGATGGCTTTGACCATTGAATATTAAGATATCATTACATGCTAATTGCTTTCATTTCCCTTATTTTGACCCGATGAAATGGTGCTTCCAAGGTACTTGCCTTATCTCTTTCAATGTCTTGACGCTATATCGCCAGATTTCCTTTCGGAGCTCTTTGGAATACTGAATCAGGTCCGTATGTGACGAGTCATTATCGACTCCATGAGACCAGTGAGTGAGTTCTCACTCCCCAAAAAACGACGTCATCGACGTGACTCGCGTAAAAGAAGCCGCTTCAACCACACTCCCCATCTCACCTATCTTTCTTCGCCGGAGACAAGACGCGCCACTGGTCCGTAATCTTCAACCCGAACCCCTCGGCGATATCACACCCGCCACGCCCCCATTTCAGCTCAAAGACCCGGCGCCCGGCAGCGACGAGCACCTCAAAGGCCTCTGCGAATCCAGCGGCGTCGTAGTAATACGGCTCGCCCTCGCCGCCGTGCTGGCTCTTTTGCCACGAGTTGCGGTTGTGGTCGCTATCTCTGTACTTGTAGTTTGTCATTTCCAGGCCCGTCTGGACTACGGCGCGGAAATACTCTGCCTTGTCGTCTACGACGGTACTATTCACCGTGGGCTCGTCGTCTCTCTTGTCGCCCTTCGTCTTATCGTCTTCGGGCTTCTTCTCGGCCGGCGGTGGGGGCGGAGGCGGGGGCGGGGGATTCGGGTCAACCATTTTCGGCACCGTCCCTGGAACCCTGTATAGGGCAGAAAGATCTTCAAGGTGCGTTGATATATCGTTGATGATGCCTGCCCGACGGTGCTTCATCGTCCAGCCGTCCATAGCCAGGCGCGCGTTCATGTCGCAGTCGGTCGCGTAGTACGGAATCAGCGAGTCCCACCCGCCAATGGCGTCCATTGCGGCGCGGTTTACCAGCGTTAAATGGTCGTACTGGTACCATCGGAACCCCCACTTCTCTTTACGCCGCAGCGTAGTGTCGAGATCGCGTAGGCAGTTCTCGTATATCGTGCGGTAACCCTGTTGTTCCGCCGCGGGCGGGCTCATGATCTCATTTTGCTCCTCCTCGTCGTAGAATTCCCATGTTCGGTCGCCGGGCCGGTGGGTGTCATCCTTGCCGTCCTCGAACGAGAAGACGAGAACATCCTGGTGGGAGTAAAAGTAGTATGGCCAGTTGTTCTTATGCGCTTCATGCAAGAACATGTTCTGCATCTGCGAAAAGGAGAGCAGGGCAGGTGCCTGGATGACATTGACGCCTAGCCGCTTGAGCGTCGTATGGTTCAGGTAGAACTGGTTCTGGAGTGAGAGCTTGCCCTGGGCGTTGGCGAACTGGGTACCCGTATTCTCGAGAACGTGGATGCTAGATGGCGGCCAGCCTGCTGTGATGTAGCTTACGACGCATTGGAGGAGGATGGGCCACTGGCGGGTGAAGCCGATGAAGAGCGGCGGCTGCGCATCGAGACCGTAGTCTTTGTGTAGGTCGTCGCGCGGGACGTTGTGCGCGGGGATCGAGGGGGGCGGCGAGTCGGTGTTGGCGAGGAGGGGAAAGGGGTCGATTACCGGGGGCGAGGTGTAGGTCGGCGCCGGCTTGTATACTGGGGTCTCGGAGGAGAGCGACTGCTTGTCGTCCTTGCTACTCGAAGATGGCGGCGTTGTCTTCGTGTGCTTCGCAAGGTTATACAGTGAATCGAGGTTAATAATGCTTTCATGGAAGCGGACGAGGACGATGATTAGGGCGAAGAGAGCCGCCAAGGGCAGAATTGTTCGGAGGCGCGATTGAACGGCAATCATATTGAAATTCAGTGAGCTGTGAATCAGCGCATCGCAGGCGGTAAGAGAGGAATGCAGTCGAGCTCGGCGAGGACAAGGCTCGTAGGATACGACGGCATTGTGAGGGAGGGAGAGGGAAGCTGTGCCGCAAGGCAGGCGGGAGTCGACGAGATTAAGTTGGGGATCATGGTTGGGTGAGGCGACACCTGTGCCGCGCGTGTGTGACGAATGGGAAGGTACGTTCCTTCAGCCGCGTTTCTCTTGTTGGAGCATGGAAGGAAAGAAATGCCTGAAGAATGCCTGGAATGGGTGACGATTCTCAGACACGCAAGTCGCAACAGGGGGAAAGTGCCATGCAGCTTCCTTGCTTGTTTGGTTCGGAAGGTGGGTGAGAGTGGACTGTGTGTGTGTGGAAGGTGCAACTTTTTTTTGGGCCCTGCCATTCGTGTACAAAGTGGAAGGACGTTCCAGAGCTGGGAGATTGGGGGAGTGTAGCCTGCCGCGCTAATGCTCCAAAAAGCTTAGCTGACACGGGACGAATGTGCCTCTTTCCGCCCAGCTTGTTAGTCTTAGTTGGACGATTGACCAATTAGAGCAGGGTTGCCTTTCGTAGTCGGAATACGGCAGATTGAGTGGAGGTCGAATCCTTGACGTTACAGGCAACTTACTATCAAACAACACTACGAGTACCTCGGATGTTACGTAGGTAGGTAGACATGAGTATACAAACCTTTCACTTCAGTTCGTAGCTGCCTAGAAATTTCGTAATCATCTTGGCATCGAAAAGTCATAAGGCGCAAGGATTCGGTACAGTTACTGAATCTGCTCAATGTTCTACCACGGGAATGACAATACCGAAAGACAAGTAGTGCATCTCCACACTAGCTTGAGGTGATTTATATTGACAGCTTCGTATTACCTTTGTGTTCCAAGCGGAGATCCGCATAGAGTGATTATAAGAAGAGATGCGGTGTATGTCATCAAGTTTTGCATGTTACCCGTCACTCATTTTTCAGCCATCTTATACATTTGTTTTTTCTGCTTCGTCCTCTTTCTCTCCTGAGGTCTTGAGAGATGTTGACTGGTCAGCAGACCAGCTCTCTGGCAGTCACTCAAATGTAAGATCATTAGGTCAGGGATACGCTTCATGCTTAGCCACGTTAAATCTACACCAGCACTACTTATCAAGGACATGGTGCGCGCTGTAAGCTCCAAGTATGAGCTCAACTTCAAAGAACGATTGGAATTAAAATAGCATAATACAATCCAGAATCGTAGTCAGTCGTACGGCAGCGCTGAAAGATTGACCACAGAGGTCGGCCGCAAAGGTCGAAGGCGGCCGCGAGGGGACTCACTCATCCTCAACACAGGAAGGTGATATAGGGACCAACGGCATTTCAGCTGCCACGGACCACCGGTCGGAATGCTTGATCGGTAGAGTATCAGTGAAGTCTCCTGAGGTAATCATGCGACAGCATTTCGATTCGGGGGGTGGTCGTCCTTTTTTTGTCTTTTCTTTTCTCTTTTCTGTCCTTAGCCTCAGATATCTCCCTACTGTCTTCACACTCCATGCAGATTCCATGAAATATGAGAATCTCGTCACTGAGCAAGTTGCCTTCCCCAGTCTTTAACACGAGATCTCTACAGACGCATGCAAGACGGAGTGGCAGTTAAGGTCGCCATCGGGAAGCGTAAAGTGGCTGCCACCACAGTTTGACCCGCTGAACGTCTTGATCGTACAGTCCCTAGACAAGTTAAACATTGTTCAAGTTGGTAGTAATCAATAGACATACCTCTTTTGAAGGACTTTGATGGATCGCTTGTTGGTGACGGGTATGCACCGATACGCACCGCTGCCAGTCACCTCAAAGGTGCTTTGGTCTGAGTTGCAAAGATCGTCGCTGAAGGAGACCACCTTGGCCCAGTCATCTCTGACTTCGAAGTCCACCGGGTTGGCGATGACTAAAGTGGCGAGGGAAAGGATCAAGGCGAGACCTGGGAAGTGCATCGTGAACTTCTGGCAACGTAGGGACCTAGTCTTGAGTGTGTAACGAAGGTAAAATGTTTCGAGTAGTAAGAGATTGCAAATGTGATGAAGGATAGATGCACATGGAGTCGAGTAGATAGAGCAGGACCGGAGCTGTCACTTATAGTCATGAAGATGTCAGCGAGGAAGAGAGATTGATCACTAGCACTACAAGAATAGACAGAACTCTGTTTAATAGCGCCTTGTAAGCCACCTTATTCGGACGAATTGAGGAGCGCATAGCCACACACATGCTGTTCTACAAGCCGACCACGAAGAGGATTTTGCTGACGCTGGCGTCAGTTGTTGTTCAAGCACAACGGAACTGGATATCATGATCTCTGATACGTCCTTACGACTTTAGATTGATACAACGGCCAATTCTGGAGGATTTCGTGGTACCTGACTCTCAAATCCTGAACTAAGTTCGGCTCAGGTGCTGGCACGGTGTCATGACTGATCCACGTAAGGCAGTATGTACCATGAAGGCTTTTGAATTCAGGAGACCGTGTCCGAGGGAGTTTAATAGATTGAAAATCATCCAGTGCGATGGTATCTGCGGCTATTGTAGGAGCCTGACACCCAAAGTTCGGATCCAGGGCCCGAATAGCTTGCAGCAATGTACCCTGCCTCAGGTGTGTTGTCATCAGCGAGAAGCATTCCTCTACGGACTCGGGTTTTTTGTACAACAAGGCACGAGTGGTCTCAGTAAGAAGAACCCCATTGTTATCCAGCCGAAAGATGTTGAATTGTGCTGTCTAAAGTCTATCGTAAACTCAATGTATCATTGGAGTCTGCGGGTTTCCTGCTACGACAATCAAGGACTTGGGGGTAATTGAGTGATCAAGGATCGCGGGGTAAAATTCCAGCTGCACCGGAGAATCCCCGGCTCGGCTTAAGACAGATTACATAAGAAACATCTACCCCGCCAAAAAGCGCATTGGGCCGGCTCACCCCGCCACTGCAGCACCGAACATCGGGACGGCCGATTACGCCATTCAAACGCTCCAGACGGGAAATGGGTCTCGAGCTGCCGTGAAGCAAATCAGCGTCTTCCAATTTTCGGAGCTTCGTTCTGGAGTACTACGGATAGGTAATCGAGGAGGCCGACTCACAACACTCTTCGCCGTGCCGCTCCGATTCCTCTTCTCATTCATTGCACTCTTCATGACCTCCCTCGTCCTCCCTCTCTTCCGGTCGCGCATCACCAGCACCAGTACCGCCAGACGAGGTTTCCAGTCCACCGCAATGTCTCTCAGCAGCAAGCTCAAGCCCGCGGCTCGCGTCGCCGGCCGGCGACAGGATGTTTGGTGTGTATTGAGATCCCGGTCGTGAGAGAGTGAGAGACAAGTATGCGCCAGCGCTACTTTTGACACATCTCTGTTGGTCGGTGATAAGCAATTGAGCGCAAAAATGTTGACTGTGAAACCAGGTCCATCATCAACGAGGCCGCTGCCGCTTCGCCCAAGCAGCCTATCGTGAACATGGGCCAGGGGTTCTTTGGCTACAACCCTCCCGAATTCATCCTCAACGCCGCCAAGCAAGCGCTGGACCGCGTCGAGTGCAACCAGTACAGCCCTACCAAGGGCCGCCCAAGACTCAAGAAGGCCATTGCGGACGCCTACTCCCCTCACTGGGGCCGCAAGCTGGACCCCGAGACCGAGGTCACCATCACTACTGGCGCAAACGAGGGTGAGATGAGAAGCCCCAGAGAAGCAACACGATCTCATAATCATGGACTGACTGTTGACCAGGCATGCTGAGTGCTTTTATGGCCTTTATTGAGCCCGGCGATGAGGTCATCGTCTTTGAGCCCTTCTTCGACCAGTGAGCTAAGCCACGAGTGTTGTTCATGATACGTCCCAGATATGCTGACTCTTTGAAAAGGTACATCAGCAACATTGAGATGCCCGGCGGCAAGATCACCTACGTTCCTCTGCATCCTCCCACAGACGGCGCCACGGCGACATCGTCCGCTGCCAACTGGACCATCGACTTTGACGAGCTCGAGCGCGCCATCACACCAAAGACCAAGATGATTGTCCTCAACACACCGCGTTCGTCGCCACTTCCCATCCACCTCCAAGTACAGGGCGCATTTTGCTGACATTTTGACACAGACAACCCCGTCGGCAAGGTCTTCTCCAAGGAGGAGCTCCAGAAGATTGGCGACCTATGCGTCAAGAACGAGATCATCATCCTCTCCGACGAGGTCTACGACCGCCTGTACTACGTTCCCTTCACGAGAGTCGCCACGCTGTCCCCGGAGGTCGAGCGCCTCACCATCACCGTCGGCTCCGCGGGCAAGAACTTTTACGCTACCGGCTGGCGTGTCGGTTGGCTCATGGGCCCTGCTGAGCTGATTCAGCACGTTTCTGCGGCGCACACTCGCATCTGCTACTCTTCCGTCTCGCCTCTGCAAGAAGCCTGCGCTGTCGGTATGTTTGCCCCATCTCTCCCCACCTGTTTCCCTGTCCCTCATCAGCATTGTATCCGAGTGTGACTAACTTCTCATCCAACAGGTTTCGAGCAAGCCGAAAAGGAAGGCTTCTGGGACGAGACGATCAAGGATATGAAGGGAAAGATGGACCGCTTCAACGAGGTATGGAAGGAGCTCGGCATGCCCTACTCGGAGCCCGAGGGCGGATACTTCGTCCTCGTCAACATGGCCAAGGTCAAGCTGCCCGAGGACTACCCGTTCCCGCCCCACGTCGCCAGCCGCCCGCGCGACTTCAAGCTCGCGTGGTTCCTCATCCAGGAGGTGGGCGTCGCCGCCATCCCGCCCACCGAGTTCTACACGGACGAGAATGCGCACATTGCTGCGGACTACATCCGTTTCGCGGTCTGCAAGGAGGACGAGGTGCTCGAGACGGCCAAGGAGCGTCTTCGCGGGTTGAAGAAGTATATCAAGGAGTGAGGTGCAGATGGTTGGCTGTGCTCATAGAGGGCGCAAGTTGATGTGACACGAGTATGTAACATGCCTTGTCATAATGTCCCATTTTTTCTACCTTTTAAAAGAGTGAATAGACAAAACCTGAGCCAATTCTTTCTCCCTTGAATACATTTCTCTCGCTCCGCCTGTAATTGATGAAAAAAACATTCATATAAGTCTCAATAAGCACGCATAAAACACACCGATTCAAGTGTTCAATGGTGATGGTGATGGCGCCGATGGTTGAGGCCACCACCCGTAGACGCCGCGCAAGCATCCCCGACGCCCCCGAGCGCCCCGCCTTCCTGGCAAACGTTCTCAGGACCGCAGTACGTGACGAAGAGGAGGCCCGAGTCGCCTGGGACGGGGACGCCTGCTGGCGCGCACCAGAAAACGGACTGGTTGATGTGCGCGTCGTCGATGGACTGCCTGCCCGATGTCAGGGCGCCTTCGATCGCCTTACGATTGTTTGTGTCTACGCTTGAGGTTAGGGAATGGGCGTCACGAATGATTTGGACTGAGAGATAAGAGGATCTGATCAAGGGACACGAACCGAATTTGAGGAGGCGGGAGCCGCAGTAGGTCTCGGCTTGGGTGCAGACTACCGCGAAGGCGGCGCTGATGAGGATGGAGATGACGGTCGCGATGAGGGCGAGACGAGACATGTTTGCTCTGGCCTCTTCTTCTGTCTTTCTTTTCTTGATGTCGGAAATTATGATTGACGCCGCTGAAGATTTTTCCGCAAGGTGTCGGTTTGTCTGAGGCTTATGTGCCGGTCGCAACGTTCGTGAAGGGATGGTGGCCCCTCCCTTTGGTATCCCTTTGACACAGGGCGGTCTGCGGATGGGACAATGGAACCTCCAGGTCAAGCTCTGCCTTCAAGCACGTAAAACTGAAAAGGCATGCGAGTCAGAACTTATGCGATTTCGGTGGTTGAAGCGACGCGATCGCAAGATTTGGTTTTCCCACATGCTCAAGTCCTCGCCCAAACGAGGGGCAACTTGAAGGCTCACGATGGACAACACAGCAATTGGAGCAGCATCACGAGCGCACCAATCCAAGGGAACAGTGTGTGCAACGATGCTTGATGTAACTATTGAACTGTCTTTTCAGGCCTATCAAGCTATCCGCAAACCTATGAGGGTATCACGAGACCTTGTCGTCTCAACCATGATCCAGACCCAACCGATGCCCATTCCTATTACCTCCGCATCATCCAGTCCCAAACGCCAGTCTGAGCTGCCAAAAAGCCCCCAAACTGCCATTACCAGAAGAAATCCGAAATGCCATTAGAAGAGAATCGTAAGAGTCGAAAGTGAAAAGCGAGATACCGCAGCGGCGAAATAACCAAGCGCCAGATCCTTAGATCTCGCCAGTGTCCGCGCCGCCCGACATCTCAACGTCGCCATTGGCAGCCTCATCCTTGACCTCAAGCTTGGCGACATCAGCAGCAGGAGCGTCCTCGCCATCAGCAGCCTCCTCGTTCTCGGAAGCTGCCTTCTCGGGAGGAGGAGCAGCAGCAGCAGCAGCAGCAGCCTTCTTGGTCTTGGCGGGGGTCTTGCGCTTGGCGGCGGGAGCCTTCTTCTTGACAGGCGTCTCGGGCTCGGCCGCCTCGTCGGCGTTCTCGTCGCTCTCGGTGGTCTTGGCGGCGGCCTTGGGGGTAGCAGCGGCCTTCTTCTTGGCTGGGGTAGCACGCTTCTTCTTGGCGGGCGTCTCGACAACGAGCTTCTCCTCGCCGTCCGAGTTCAGGTTGGCGCCAGCAGCGGCGGCGAGCTCGTCGGCGTCGTCAGAGCTTGTAGTAGCGGCGGCGGCGGCGGCAGCCTTTCTCTTGGACGGGGTGGCGATCTTGCGCTTTGCGGGGCTGCTGCCGGCGGTATCGCTGGACTGGGCGGGGAGATCGGAGAAGAGTTTCTTTTTGATGCCGCTCCAGGCGTTAGAGGCGGAGCGAGGGTTGGTCATGCCGCAGGCCGCGGCAAGCTTGGCGTAGTCAACCTGAGAGAGGAAAAGATTGTTAGCGGTGTCCGATGTATGAGGTGAATGGTGAAGGTGTTCAAGTGAGGCTAGATCTTACCTCGGGAGCGCTCTTCAAGGAGCTCCAAGCGTTCTTGAGGATCTCGAGCTCGCGATCGGTGAGCGCGGACTTGGGGGCAGTAGCGGCCTCGGAGGAAGAGCCAGTGGAAGACATGATGAATACGTCTTGGTGAGAGTGTGATGAGGGTTGAATGGTTTGTGATGAGAGGCGAAAAGTTGCAATTAAATTTGCAAGAGTGTACGACACTGGAAGGTTATGGTTGTGCCGAAGAGTGAGAGAGGAGGAGTGGGCGGGTAGAAGTATGAATCCTAGAAGAAGAGGGATGGGATAGATGTAGAAGAATGAAATCTGCAGAACAGCGTGAGAGGGAAGATCCCTTTTATGGGAGGACCTGTGGCAGATGGGTTGCAGATGTTGGAAGGTAGTGAGGAGGTGGGAGAAGTCACAGGCAAGTACGAGAATGAAGTTGAGAGCGGTGTGGCAGACAGAGTGAGAGTGAGGATGAGAAAGAAAGTAAGCAAACCTCAAGTGGATGCGGATCAAAACCTCATATGAGCGAGCGAAAATTCTATTCTGAACGAGAAAGAACGATCGTCCAGCCGTACTTGACGGCAAGAAGTGGTGAAAATCACAGAAGACGTATAAGGCAGCAGCGAACCACAGGCAGATTAAGGCAAGTCGGCTAAGATACAAAAAGAATCTTTCCGTGAGCACCAGCTTGAATTGAATTATTAGTCTACGGGCAATCACGTCTGGAATCTGAGAGTGCCTCACTGACATCGGGCTTTATTGTGTTTTTCTGCTTCATTGTTATAGGCTGCAGCATCACACGAGGCAGGAGGAGAAATTTTACACAAGGCCACAAAACAATCTCACTCAGTTTCTCTGCTGATCATTCAATGTTTGGCTCGAATGTTTCACTTATTTTATTCGTATTCTGCTGCCCCGTCAGATCTTTCTTCATTCTGAGAACAATACAAGCCTCTCACTTGACTGACCCTATGAAGACCCACGAGGCAGGCCGCAACAATCACACATCGAATATCGGCAGGCAAAGCCAATGAACTTAAAGAATTCACCAGAATATCTCGAAGGTTTGGAGTTTACTTATATTAGCTACTGTTCACTTGCTGATTCCTGCGATGCTTGCTAGCGCTTGCTAGCAACCCTTCCCTCGACCCGAGATAATACGCCGCTACACCTATCAGTCCCAGAACCACAACCCATGTCGCCTTGCTTGCGAATGCGACCACCCCTTTCCTGATGATTATCTGAAGCTTCTCGTGGTATGCCTCATGATCATTGACAGGGGGGAACGGAAAATCAGGAATAGGCTTCCCCAAGAAGGCACACAATGGTTCCCATCCATGTTTTAGGTTATAGTTGAGCAACCGATCAGGGGGTGTCTCTCTCCTAATAGTCGCGTAGTGTTTTCGATACCCACCGCGGGCCTTCTCGAGGACTTCCTTCTTTGTCTCTGCACCAAAGGTGTACTTCAACCACGTGAATGTGATGTCGCCAATTTCCGCCACATACTTGGCCCGTAACCACGACAGAAACCGCCAGACGGGCTTGAAGGCCACGGCAACAATGCTCTCGTCAAAGCTCTTGTACCAGGACCCGATGTCACGCTCGACGAGGACGACCTTGGACTCAGGGTATGCTGCCACCAGCTCGGGTCCGAAGAAGTTGGCTGGCATATCGCAAACGGCTCCGCAGTGGCCGAGGAGCTGGTCGAATTCTGTGCGGCCGAACGGTCATTGGCTTAGCTTGGGGTTCTGCTTCGCGTGCATGCCCTCCATCCACATTCCGACTTCGCGAATGCTTGAGACCATGGCGAATTCATGGTACACGTCGTTATAGCCAAGGATCATTAAAGCTCGCTGCATGGCTGTATCTCGGTTGCATGGTCGTCACAAATGCCTGAGCCTGCTCGGAAGCTACTCACGACGTGTCGGTCTTAGACATCCCCAAAGCCAGGGCCTCAAGAGGAACAACACGCTTGCATTGCCTCCTGTCGATGTTCAAGTCTGGCTTGAATAGTTCTGGGTGTTCCTCTTTCTCACTTTGCATTGTAAGCTGGTCTCGTGTAGAAGACAAGCTCATAACACGTCGATAAGAGGAAAGTAGTATGAAGACTACTTAGAAAGGATTGTTGAAGAATAAATCTTGTAGATAAGGAAGTAAGAGCCTTCCAGTCGTTGGGAGTCAGCCAAAGTGAACCTCCGATCGGCGATCCTGCATGCTCCAGACAAAACCGGCGTTGGTTGTGAACTGAAAATCCCGGTTCCAACGAGTTCCTTCAACCCCAGCTTATCAAATCGGATCGTAGCATATCCACAAGTAACAGGCATCTTGTGGTTCCGGAGGAAAGCCATCATCTCCGCGGCTGGGATCTGGATCTCTAGTGCCTTGGCTCCGTTCATCGGCATGCGGGCCGCCTTCGATGAGCCAAGTTCCCATTTCGCGGCTGAACTCTGATGCACCAACAAGAGAGCGTATGTGATTCACAGACGAGTGTCGCCGTTGAAAGTGCCAGTGTAGACATGAAGATATCCAGGCACTCTGTCCTGATGTTCAACGTAGGATGGATACGTCCAAGCGAGATAACGAAACACCAAGTGGATTCGAGATTGGGGTGCTACGCGCACTTTGCGAACCGAATCTACCAGTAATATGCTCCGTGTCAAGGATGTCTGTCCTTCAGGGAGCGATCTTACAGAAATTAACCCGTAGCTTGAGTACACTAAGATATAAGCCTGTTCCCGGATATTGAGATGTCTTGTTTCTTTGTATCAACTTCAGACTGAGAATCTTGGTTCGCGGTCCACCACAAACTCGGACTTAAACACATGCTTCACAGGACTAGGAGCCAGCATGGAGAAAACTACCCGGGAAAATAAGGATAAAAGTGGCCCAAGGACTCGGATGATGTGGAAAAGCAAAAGACATTCTTGGCTAGGGCCCTTCGCCAACCAGATAACTTGTTTGCTAGAGACTTCCCTCTCGCAAGGTACAGATTCATAGGCAGTGGGCTACATCCTTGCAAGAGAAACCAACGAAGTGATCCGCGACATCTTTGATGAACATGGAAGCCTCTATCAGGAAACATTCACGAGGAAATTCGTTGTTGGAAAAGGATGCCAAGTGGAATAGCCACGAAGACATGGCTTAATGTCTTAGTAATCTCAGATGTTGGAATCAACGACTCTTTGGGATGTTGATTATTGTTCCGCACACAACATCCTTCAAAAATTACGGTAATCCACTCAACCCGTGCAGTTTTCACGAGTTTTCCTTTTGCGTTCATCATCTCTCGAACACCCTTCCTAAGACCGTCAGCATTTCGAAATTTCCGCCATGGCGACTGCCACAGATGTTGTCTACATGGCCGAACCGCCCATCGGCGAAGCTCGATTTGCAGCCAAGACAGTCGGCATCGGTATGATGGCTGCAGGAGTCTCGACGACTGTCATTTCCTTATTAGCTGTTTTCCTTCGAATGTTTACGAAACTACATGTTGCAAAACGGAGTCTAGGCGTTGATGATTAAAAGCAGACTGATTATCAGTATTTCTATGCACAGACCTGGTGATCTGAGAGACCGACTAATACTTTGGAAACAGACTTGATGATCACTTCAATGGTCATGAGCATTGCCTTCTTGGCCACAGGTATGAAGAGTCAGTCCGCATTCGTTCCTGCTACCCTGACTGCTCTATTTCTGACTGACTTAGTGATCGATCTTGGTGTTGCATCGCATCTCTGGCAGGCAACTTATGCTGATTACAATCCCGGGTTCCCCATTGTAAGTTGACTATTGCTCAAAGGAATCTACGCTAGTTATATTTCGGAAAATTGAACTGTATTGGCAATAGTACGGCACATGTACGACCGTGACGTATTCTCTCAGTGTTGTACTGACGAAACTCTCTCTCTTGTTTCTCTACCTGCGGTTGTCTCCCGATCGAAGCTTTCGAATCATCGTCACAAGTCTTATCGGAATTGTCATCGCTTATTCTGTGGCCTACCAACTGCTGAGCATCTTCGCTTGTCGCTTTATCTACGCATCATGGGACGCAGAAGCACTACAGACTGCCCACTGCGTCGACAAAGGGACTATTTATATGATATTCAGCATCGCAAACATCATCATGGACGTCGTAATCCTTCTGCTTCCGCTGAAGATTGTCATTCCGCTTCAGATGTCTCGAAGGCAAAAGGTTTTTGTCATTCTGCTGTTCGCCACTGGGACGTTGTGAGAGCTGTTTCTGCCTTCTTTATTGTTCCCTCAAAGCATCACACCAGCACTGACTGCTACATAGTGTCTGCGCATCGGCGATCAAACGAACAATCGTCCTTCCTCCGATGTTGGGGAGTGCCGATTACAGCTGATATGTAGCCGAACAGTTCAATTGGTCTTTCCTCGAGGCGAATCCCGGCATTGTGTGCGCCTCGGTCCCTGGGTTGAAGCCGTTTTTTGTTCGATATCTGCCAAGCTCCATTTCTTCACGGATTACTGGGTCTGCCGATAAGAGCGGAAAGAAACCATTGCCATATTCGACCGTCATTGAGAACAACAGGAAGAGACGCAATATGCAATCCGAATCATACGAATTGTGGTCGCATGACGATCTTTCAGAAGAGAGTTCGGGGAAAGCGGAATTTAGCGATGAGGAAGCCAAGTTATGGTCTGGAAGGAGATACCGCAAGGACATTGTTAATGAGCGGGAGACAACTATCGAATCTGAATCAAATCAGCACCGAAGGACTTGTGTTGGGATAGATGATACAGCTAATGTGGTTGGCTCCAATGGCATTGAGCCAGCCTCATTTGCGGATAAAAACAGTGGTCGAACCACGCCATCAACGGCCACACGAATCCAAGTCACCCACGAGAACATAGTCTCGTATGATCCCCGAATAGAATAGCTATCTACTTGTCAAAGAATCCTTCGCAGCTACTTCGCAGCACTTAAATGCTTGAAATCCCAGATTACAGCATGGAGGCATAATCGAATGCTCCCATGAGTGAAATGAGGCTCGAAGGCGCCAGAAACTTTGGCCTATCCGCATGAGTAACGACTTCTCACAGCACTTCTCACAACACAACACCAAGCACCACTGGAACAAGTATTTGCCCTTCCCATGTACAAGAAAAACAGAGCGACATCAATATCATTGTCCTAATCCGTCACTTCACGGTCTGTGCGCCCTCTGAACGAAGCCCCACGACAAGCCAAGCTCTTGACACAAGGCTCCCTGTGGATGAAGAGGCCAAGCAAGAGCCGCACCTCCCAGCAACTCAGCGACCATCGTGAGATTGTCAGCGCCCTGGTGGTCTAGCGGTATGATTCTTCCTTAGGGTTGTCATTAAACACATCCACCTGGAAGAGGCCCCAGGTTCGAATCCTGGCCAGGGCCCTAACCCTTTTGCCTGATCTCCACTGACTCCGTAGTGGAGCTCAGGGTCTTTTTTGAAGTTGGGCCGATGGTTCTCCATCAAGGGTACGGAAGGTTTGGGCTTGCCATGGGAGACTTCGTTCGGAATACCTAATTACTTCTTGGCGCTGGCTGGAAATTCCGACTCTTCGGGTGCTCCGTTGAGTTTATTTCACCCAGGGTGAAGTAGACAAGCCGAGTGGGTGGAGTGAGACAAAGTGACTAAGAGAATAGGGACCCAGAGGCTGACTATGTGCCAATAGCATACGCTACTTACATAAAAGAAAGAAGTCTCGTATATGCTTAATTAGACGCGTGAAATGTCATCTCAGATGGTTTCTGACACGACCAACTCTGTGCGTGCCGCGTGTGTAATTTTCATCCGAGCTGGGATGATCATTAGTCATTGTCTCACTATCTTCGGGAGCGCCAAACTTGTACCGAATGTGGGAAATGCCTCAGATGAGGCTCACTACATACGCAGCTGCCTGGGAATCTGTTGACCATGCGAGAGTGCGCGGACAGCGTTTGTTACTTAATAATTACATTACTTGTATGGGAAAATTGTAGTCCCACGGGATGAAAGATCAGCTGCCAAGGGCTGATTTAATCGGACTCGACATCGCACATGAGACGAAGCAGAATACATCCGGATAAGTGGCATCAACATCGTGTAAGCATTAAGCGGTGAGTCATCTAGGCTAAGCTAGTCTACAGAAATCTATCAGGGTATCGTCTCTATATTATTAGACCAGTCTGGTTATGCAAAAGTTGGGGCACTAAAGTGTTTTCTTCCAATCCCACTTAGTTGCCATGCCTCGCGAACATGCGATTGTAATGCTACCCAGCCCAAGGGTCACTCCTGCCCAGATCCAAGCGCTAATGTAGCCGACAGAGCGCACGAGAGCGCCGCCAACGGGAGAACCCAGCAACAGGGCAACAGACATCACGGCGTAGGCCATACCAAGTCTGGTTCCGATGTACTTCTTGTCCTCCGTGAGAAGAGAAAACGTAGCCGGCTGCAGAGAGAAGAAGGCTCCGCTGCTAGTTCCATAAAATATAACCGTCACCAACAACGCAGGAGTGTGGGTGACTGCCGAGAGACAGAATGCCGAAATAGATAAGGCCGCTACTGCGACGATGAGCATGTTCATCCGACCGAGTTGAGCGGTGAATAAGATTGGTACGGTGCGGCCGACAATAGATGCGCCGTTGAGGATCGCAAGCAGGTACTTGTCGATTTCGGTGCTGACAGCGTGCCTTGCCAACGCGTATCCCGGAATGTAGACAAAAGGGGTGTACATGCCAAGGAAAACGAGGCAGCAGGCGCCCACGAAAAGCAGATACGGGGTGTCTTTGAAGGCAGTGCGATCAATCAAGGGTCTTCTGAAGGCTGAAGGTTTGGGCGGTTCCATGGTCACGATGGAGATGCTAAGGGTTGTGAGCGCGATCAACGCCATGGTGCGCACAGTCCAGCGGAAGCCAATTTCTGGCTGGATCGATCTGAAAAGAATCGGCAATACCAGGCTATGAGAAGACGATGTTAGTATGGATGCCAGCCTTAGCCGGCGGGATACTTTTTGAGCCGGAGATTTTTGGTTGAGGGAAGACTTACCCGCCAACACCGCTTCCAGCCGCTGCAATGCCGGTTGCCATGGGTAGCTTAGTGGTGAACCATGGCGATAAGATAGCAACTCCCAGCACAGCTAAACTTCCCTGTCCAACACCGACACAGAGACCTTGTGTTAACAAGAGTTGCCAAAGGTTGTGGCTGAGACTTTGGAGGATGGACCCGGTGACGATCAACGTGGTTCCCGCCCAGAGAAGTTGCTTGGCGTATCCCAAATCAAAGATGGGGCCGGCAAAGAGACCCAGGAACACCATTAGGAAACTTTGTAACGAGCCAATTGTGGAAATAGCGAAAGAGCTGTGTTCCTTCAGGAGATGGCCCTCGTAATAGACCTGGAAGGTACCGAAGCTGGCAACCAGTCCTGGATACTGTTAGTTCTAAACGCGCTCATTGCTTGGCTTAATCCCTAAATTGATGCAGGCTGTGCGGGAGCCGCGGGATGTCATTTGCCCCTAAAAGGCAGTGCACATTGCATGGGCGGAGGGTCCGACTTATGACTTACCCCACGTGTTGAAATAAATGAAAAACGAGCCAAGAACTTGCATCCAGGCTTTCAAGCCTCCATTCGGGGGTCCCGTCGGCTTAGTGGGCGACGGCGGCGGTGACTTGAACTCATCAATACCATCGCTACCGCTCTCTTCGTCGAGCTTCTGCATTGGGTCTTCGCCCGGCCCGTAGGGCTTTTCTTTATCGGATGTGTACTCCATGGCTTTCTCAATACGAATAGGTTGGGTAGTATCGACCGCGGTTATTGCTAGCGCTGCAGACGGCGGTGATGCAACTACCGGGATGGTATGTCGTGCGGTCCTTTCCTCGGTTGGTGGACTTGACTGCGGCTGTGGCGTTGGTCGTACTGATTCGTTGTCAAGGCCGGCTTGATTTACAGAGCGAGAGATCATCCAGCGACGACGACGAAATGAATGAATTAACGATAGGTAAAGAGCTTGCTCAGCAAGCCTTTCTGACATCTATCCAGTTCTCCCACCTGAGCAAAAGAACGAGCAGCAGTGGAAAATTAGCCTTCCGTTTTGTTTAAGTACAATAGACGGAGTCCTCCACGGACCCCCTCAAAAAGCCGCCTGGGCCTCGCCGCAGCTCGGGTTGCGCCGCCCGCGGTCGCAGGCCACGTTACAGAGACCAGATGGACCTCCAAGTATGTCGTTGTTGCGATGACTTGGGGGAAAGTATAGCGGTAACCTTACCGTTTCCAGGTGGGATGTAAATAACCTGAGGCGAGGGGCCGCGAGTAAAATAAGGTGCAAGTCAGGCACAGTGGCCCTGGCTGTTATTGTTCGGGAAACTTCCAACGTCTCGGAGACCAGACAAGTCTTGACGCGGTCTGAAGAGTCAGAAAGCTTGAGGATTATGGTGGTTCGAGGCCCAATGAGGAAGTCGGATCGGCCAGAGCGGATAGGGATCAACGTTGCAGGCTGCGGGAGACGGAAAACAAAAAGTGTCAGAGTAGTCTATTACTGAACATTTCACTCGTAGAATGATAATTCGCAAGCTACACATCATTTTTGGCCTTTATGAGGCGGACTCCCCTAGCTAGATGTGTCCGCAACGAGGGGGGGCTTCATCATGTCACATTGCGAGAATCCTCCAACGTCTCGGACCTCTTCTGGAATCTGCGAATGCCAACGGCTTTGAGGCGTTTGAACCTCGTCGAAACCTCGGAGTAGTGGAGTTGACGATTGATAATTCTTGTGCGATTGTGGTTAGGTTACACTGGGCGGTGAATGAGAAAATGCTTCTTTGAGTCTTTCTGAACTGTTCGGCCATGGTCCGTCGTTTGGTAGCGGGTCTTATCAGCTTTTTGGCGTCGTTGTCTGCTATCTGAACGCCGAACTGCAGACAAAATCAGTTCGGGGCTCCTCTTCATAGATAAAAAGATGCCGAGGCCCTCCTTATGTACGTCTTGGCGCGGTGATCGAAAATCGGGGACTGAATTTTCAACAACGCTGACTTAGCAGTTTATTAGCTAAGAGCCCCGAGAAACAAACCGCGAAATCCCGCTAGTTGCCGCCCTAGTTGCCGCGCACCGGTGGGATGAAGAATACATGAAAATGTCTGCCTTTTGCATGACAACCGGAAAAACCGTCGGCGTGGGGGGGAGTCTCAGGGTGATGACGTGTTTATTCAGGGAAACCAGGAAACTACGGAGTATCCCACATTCCTGGTTCGTAACCTGATGTTGGTTCAACTTGGTTCAAGCTTGTCTTCGGTTCGGTTCCGCGCTTTCTGCAGCGCCAGTTCCGAGCCGACGGAACGTGGCGGTCGTCGGGACTCGGAATGGGGTCCCGCAGCGATTGTCTGGAGATCAATGTGGCAGGTCGCAGTAAGGCCGCAGCAACTCCAAATAAAGTTGCAGATTGTGTGCTGAAGAAGCACAACCTAATAATGCTGGGGGCCTTTTCGCGCTATCAGCTATCAAGAGCCGATAGGTTTTCCTCGGTCTTTTCGGCTCTTCGGTTTCGGTTTCGAGTCCCCTGAAGAAGCAAGCGATTGAATCGACGCGCAGCGTCACGTTGGGGGCGAACGATAAATGACAACGTATCCGTAATTCGCACAGAAGAAAGCGACGATATGTGGACACGATGTGATAGATTATCTGCATATGGCAGCTCCATGTGCATCGTAACGGAAGCCAACCAGGGAGTTTAGATCACCATGCCCATCCCAATTGGCTGATGATGATCAATCACATTGCGAGAGGTGTGTAAATACTAAACGTAGGTTTTTGTCTATCCGTAAATTGAGCTATCAGGGGTCTCTCTAAAAAGAATTTCGTTTGCCCTTTTTGGGCGTTCGCTCCAGTAAATCCGGTAATGGTACATCGTCTTGTCTAAAAACAAAAACATCATCGTCGCCAAAAAACTTGCTTGTCGCACCCTTTACTGAGTCAGGTACGACAGGTAATCCTTCCACCCTTCTCCTCCGAGACCGACGTAGCCAATGTACATGTCGGGTCTGACGACAACGGTGAAGTCGTCTTCGTCCTTCGCCCACTCGGCTGAGAAGGACGTTTCTAGCGATGAAGAATCTTCACTCACAGCGGTCGTACGAGGAGTCTCCGCATTGTGGGGAGCGACGGTGAAGAGTCTGGCCAAATCCTGGAGACCATCTCCCAAGGCGGGACCATTCGATTGTCGTCCAATCTTCAGCACCAAGTGCTTGCCATACTTGCCAGCGACAAGATCATACAAGCGCTTCGGCTCTTCTCCGGATGCTGGCGTCAGGAAGACATCCGGACAGCGCCGGCCGGCGGTCCAGATGCCCTGGCTGGGGGCCTCTTGGATTAGGGGGGAGCCAGTGCCATCGTAAGACACGCCCATGCCTAAGGTAGTTGGTG